AAGTAAGAAGAGAGAGAGAGAGAGAGAGAGAGAGAGAAATTAGATATACCTGCCCTCACACATTTTAAGATTTCTTTATGAATGTAAATGGTGTTTACTCTGTACAGATAAATCCTACACCTACAACTGCAAAAAATTTAACAATTTTGAACCAAGGCGAGGAGTGTGAGTTTGCGCACAACATGGAGTTGGGAAAAAAGCATGACTCCTAATAATCGAGTATATGACAATATACATCACTTATAAGTGTTATATACATGAGAGTTATCACAAGCAACTATAGATCAGATCATAAAAAAGTGGATGCCTAGAGCAGATTGTTGGGAAAACATCAGAGCGGTCTAGATGGTTAAGATGTTAAGGAGGGTGACACGAGTTCGAATCAGCCGACTTTTGATGCATCCCAACCGATCGTCAATGCGGCTCATGCTTTCTTCCAATGACTCTAATTGTCGCAGGGCATCACCAGCACACAAGCTATCAACCTTGCTTGCGATGGAATAGAGGGCAATGAGGGAAAGTTTCGTACAATCCCACTCAACAATCGCACAATTCAGTAGCTGAGATTTGGGCTTGAAGAACGCAGATACTCTAGATTGCCATATGAATCTTGACAAGAGTGATTCGCACACAAATACTGTGGCTGATCCCACTTGCCTCAGGGCTTCCAATACCTCATTATGTTGTGTTGATTCTTGTGAGAGGGATCCAGAAGACACCATTCTGCAAGTTTTCCTCAAAGGGCCAAGGCATTTGGCGAATTCCATGCCCATCTCCTTTCGGGAGGACATGTAGGCTCTGACTAAACTCTCCAACCCTTTGTAGTCTCTCCTGCGAAGAGCAGACAACAGTCTAAGTTGTTGCTCCTTTACACAGGATATGGAATCCCTCATCCTGCTGCACACATCTATCCATTGGAGAGAGTCTTCCAGCATCTGGCAGACCCATCTGTCTTGCCGATAAAGAGCTTCAGGGACGAGTGGCAAGTGCAAAAGGTCATCCAAACTGTCATATACGCTCACAAGGGAATCAACAAGGGACTCAGGTCTTTGTTTTGTGGCGAATTCACAAAAGAAGAGCAACTTCTTGCTCAATTCCTGTAAGATGGGGTGTGATCTAGAAGGCAAGCTGTTAGAACGAACATGGTATTGAACTGGGGTCTCCATTCTGCAAATCAAAGACTAACAGCCAACGTTAGTAGCACAGATATAGAACCTGTGACTCAGCCTCTTATAAGCACGTTTCTAAGGTCCCTCATTCGAAGAATCGACGTGTCCACACGTGCACTCCAGGGTTTACATCTCTAGGCTTCATTCAATGCCAATCGGCTCGTCTGCCTCGATCCCGTACATCACCTGCATTTTGGATGCTGTTATTTTATGAGGAGTGCACGAGTGGCATGGCTGCCATCCACCCAACATGGATCTCTAAATGTAATCCATACCCGACTTTGTATACAACCAGTCATTAAAATCATATGAAATCGATCAATTATGCATCTAACTAAGATTTAAAGAAACGATGAAGGAGACAGTGTTGAGATCTGCGATCTTTGAAACAGAGGACACAACTCACAAGATTCTCTTTGTCTCCAAATTAATAAGGGACTAGCTGGCCTTAAACAAATGCGATGGCTTATTCCTTCCATGGAAGGAAGTCACTATCTTAGTTTGGAAACACTGTGCCCATCTTTTTAACCACTGTTCAAACTACAATGAAAATGTCAATCATAATTATGCTATAAATGCTCCCTGCCCATTATGTTATGTAATGGCAACTGGTACAATTATAAGATGGTTTCATCATTAACTAACCAACGGTACAAGGTACAGGGAAGCATTTATACATGGTGCCACCCATCTATGAGACTTATATTCCTTGCTGTTGGATCGAAATAAACTAGGATAGCTTCAGCAATAATGTCATGACTAAAATTGTTTCATATTTAATTAGTTTGTATAAACTAGTTTTACATGAAATTTGGGGCATGTTTACTTCTTATAGAGACATACCTAATGGTCAATTATTTTGTCAGAAACAACTTTTTTTATTTTTATTAGTTGTGTGCCTATGAAAAACGGGCACTTAGCAAATTTCATTACAAAACAATTTATAGAAAGATTAAAGAACACAGTAGATATGCAGGTTGAAACATCCGATCAAGATGAAATTCTCATAGATCAACTTGTAAAACTATCACCGAAGTTATCTCGATCGTCCATTAGATTGGTTGGTCGAGAGCAGCAATTACCTATGTTTTATATGAAGTAGCAACACACGGAAAGGCTTCCCTTTTGGACACATTTCGGTACTTGAAAAAAAATGTTTACTCTGAAATATATATTTCTTGCTAAAAATATTTCCTGTAAATTGGGATTTTGTTGCTCTAGATGCAACCTAGAAGACACATTTTTATTGTTTGGACTCTATGGAAGAAACATCTTTTAGAGAAATGCCATTTATTGGATTTACGTAATTATCCTCAAACTTATTTACTCGAATAAATTTATCGTACTTATCAAGTCTTTGTTATGTGAATTTCTTCTGTTGTATTAAACTTTTCAATAATATTTCCGTTGTTTTTTTGGGTGAGAGGTAGAGTGGTAGACAGACTGGAGCGGAGGAGGAAGAAGAGGCTTAAAAATGTGAGATACACGTCATACTCGTCAATTAGCTTATTTGTTTTAAGGGTGTGCGTTTGTACAGTACCGAGGCTCTAAACAATCAAATTAGAGCCTACCATCAAATAGTATTGAGAAATGTAGTTTCC